GTGGGGGGGGGGGGGGGGGGGGGGGGGGGGTGGGGGGGGGGGGGGGGGGGGGGGGGGGGGGGGGGGGGGGGGGGGGAGGGGGGGGGGGGGGGGGGGGGGGGGGGGGGGGGAGGGGGCGTTGTTGCTAAAAACCAATATCAGACTTTTAAAAGTGTTTCTTATGTTTATAATCCTTTTCTTTTTAGTTTGATGCTAGTTGCATATGCCTTCAAAATGTAATAACTATGGGACCTCGCAGTAGTAGAATGTATTTGGTGACCCGTAGGAGTCAGCGGCTTACGTTGGAATTTTTACATCATGCAATTCCTTACAAAATCGAGTCTGTGAGGTAAAAAGCAAAGAAAGCGTAAACTATCAACGTTTTGGGACGATTTTATGTGATATCTACTGGCCAAAAGTAACGAACGAGGGTCAGATTTGCGACCTCCCACTTCGTTTTGAGAGGACTACAGTACAGAATTTCTTATAGAATTTAATCTACAAATTTTTATTTTTCATATGTACTGCTCTTTCAACGCAGTCGTAGACCTCGATGCGATTTTGATGTATTAGTAAAATTTAGGCAGTCTTACATTCATCTTCAGAAAAAACGTCGATTTTAGTCAAGTCGACGGCTGCACGGTTATAGTGAATACTTAGATTGTCTACGAATACCTTACTTATTAGATGAAAAAGAGTTGCATGCAACAAACTAGAAAAGCACTCCGAGAGCGCAGACCTCTACCAAGGCAGCGATTTTTGCTTATTATTGATCCGGATCACCACCAAAAACCTTATAAGTTAATCCATTTCCCACCTACCCTGAAAATTTCATCAAAATCGGTTCATAACAGAGTTATTTTGATGACAAACAGGGGTGAAGACAACCTCGGCGGAGGTAACAAGGAAGCATGCTCGATGGGTTTCTTACTACGTGTCTGTACGACTCAGTTGCCCATTTTCAAATTAAGTAGATGTTTGAAATTTTTTTCTTGTTGTTGCAGATGGACATCTAAATTTAGCAAATGATGACCTATACCTTTATAGTCTAAATATCCGCTCGTGCTTTCTGTATTTACGAACACAAACCCCTTAGTTATTAAGTAAGATTTTTATTTGCATTTTCTTTTTTAGTAAAGTAAAACACCTGCATCTGGGTGAATAAATGTAATCGCTACTCGTATCGCGTTTCCTGAATCAAAGTCTGTTGCTGGAAAAGAAATGAAATGCTTTAAAAATGTTTTCAATTTAAAGCCGTTTTAAGAACTAAGTTTAGGTACGGTCTTTTCCTTCTGACCTCCTTCCAGTGAGACTTAGACCTAAGTAACCAGAGAGGCCAACTTAAATTAAATTGAAAGTCAAGTCTTTGAAATAAAGACTTCCAGTAGAACAAAAGATGGTTCAAAACGGTTGCCTCAACAACGCATGGCGCCGAGGCACACAAGGTTCCTTTTCCTAAAGAATAGTTCTCATCATCTCTTTCATCTTCGGTATCCCGATTCATTTTTACACTGCTGCACGGTGTTTTCAATTTAAATGGCATTGTCCTAGAAAATCGTGGTGGTTGGATCTTAGTTACAATAATAGCTGTGGTATCATCATCATCAAAGGTTCTCTTCTCTTCAGAGACTGTGGCGAGCGTGGAGGATGCCTGTCACTTCTTCTTGGTGGCCTTCTCGGCGGCCTTGGTCATCTTGCCGGTGTTTTCCTTCTTCTTTGTCTCCTTAATGACGCCGACAGCGACGGTCTGCCTCATGTCACGCACGGCAAAACGCCCGAGAGGTTGGTAGTTGGAGAAGGCCTCCACGCACAAAGGCTTGGAGGGGATCATGTTCACTATACCCTGCATCGAAAAAAACGGTAAAAGTTATCAATTGTGTTACAAAATACCGATGAACCTTATAAATTGTGTTACAGATGAACTAGAGATTGAAAAGTGCTCATCTAAACCACGACAAAAGGCGATTAAAATTCACAAACATTTTTGGGAAGATAAACTTGGCTGAAATTGGAAACTCTTCTGAGCAATGGTTGTTTTGGCACTTGATTAACATTATCATTACCATTTAAGAAAATTCTCTTTCAAATTCAATCACAAGCATTCCATAGTATATGCTGAAAAAGCATTAAATTCGCAAATACTTACAGCATCACCAGATTTCAGGAATTTGGGGTTATCCTCCAGCTTTTTACCACTACGACGATCGATCTTCTCCTGCAATTCTGACCACTTGCAGGCAATGTGTGCGGTATGACAGTCAATAACTGGGGCATAGCCAGCATTGATCTGGCCAGGGTGGTTCAGAACAATAACCTAGAATATAATAACAAAATGATAACCTGATTATCAGTCTAATTGGGAACAGCCAGGGTGGGATATTAGCATAAGAAAGCCCATCAACTCCCCCCTTTATCATTTAACAGAAAACCCAGAATTCCTTAAAGATGTACTAAGTAGGTCTTGATTATATTTGGGGAAATGCCAAAGCACTTTGTAACATTACCTGAATATTATTATAAGGGGTATTTTTTTTTCTGTGTCATGTATAACTGGGACAATAAATAGGTCAATTTTCAACCAAAAATTCAAGGTGCAGTTTTAATGCTATTTTACGGCTGATGAAGGGATTCATTTCATTTAGCCCTTTGCATGTTGACTCAAATATTTAGAAACTAACATCAGTTGTTTATATGCGTTACTGTAATTCATGCTCGACTCGCATCTTAAACCTTATTTAAGCTTAGGTTTTGCAAACAGCATTTATTCATTTCCAACATTTCCTTTAAAGTGGGGGAAGCACTGTATACAAAGATGTACTAATATACACACCTGGGCTTTGAATTCTGCAGTTTCCTGGGGTGGGTCACTCTTGGAGTCACCGCAAACGAAGCCACGGCGGATTTCCTTCACAGACACATTCTTCACGTTGAAGCCCACATTGTCACCTGGCAAAGCCTCCGTCAAAGATTCATGGTGCATTTCCACAGACTTGACCTCTGTGGTCAACATGGCTGGGGCAAAGGTGACCACCATGCCTGGCTTCAAGATACCAGTTTCCACACGGCCCACTGGCACTGTGCCGATACCTGGAGACAAAAAATAGATGCGTTTACCTTCTCCGCAATAGCACAGGTTCGCTCAAACATTTTTTTTTCAATATGTTGTGCAGAATGGCTATTTGTGGCTCGAACGTCCTTACAAAGGGAATGTTCTGCCACTAAGTGTATTTTATTTTAAGGGGCAAGACAATCCTCAATGAAAAGTAGGAAAATTGGCAAGGGGTCCAGGTAAACTATCCACAAGAATGCCCCTGAAAAAGTCAGAATTCTAGCAAAAGTTGTAAAAGCCTCTTAAGGGTGAATTTTTTTTTACTTATTTATTATTTTGACACACACTCACACACATGATCTCCACAGTCACCACTTCTTACCTCCAATCTTGTACACATCCTGGAGGGGAAGACGCAGGGGCTTGTCTGTGGGTCTTTGGGGGGGCAGGATGCTGTCCAAAGCCTCCAGCAGGGTCATACCCTTGGCGTTGCCCTCCTTGCGCTCAATGGCCCATCCCTTGTACCAGGACATATTTGGAGATGGCTCCATCATGTTATCACCATGCCAACCAGAGATGGGGACCATGGCAACAGCTTTGGGGTTGTAACCGACCTTCTTCAGGTAGTTGCTGACCTCAGTGCAGATTTCCTTAAAACGGGCCTGAAGTAAAATCATAAGGAGGTGAGTTTAACATTCTTTGCCTGCACATCCATAAAGCATCTCAACTAGAAAGAACAAAAGATTTAGATGTATTTTCAATACACGAAGTTATATATATATATATATATATATATATATATATATATATATATATATATATAAATAAAATCCTACTTCTCACCTCACTGTATGGTGGCTCAGTGCTGTCAATCTTGTTCACTCCCACTATCATCTGCTTCACACCCAGAGTGAAGGCGAGCAGGGCGTGCTCTCTAGTCTGACCATTCTTGGAAATACCAGCCTCGAACTCTCCAGTGCCAGAAGCCACAATCAACACAGCACAGTCAGCCTATGAGAAAGGAGCCATAGAAATTAATTTCAAAACTTACACCTTATAGATACTAATGTGTTGCAAAATTCTTAGAAGCAAGAAGACAACAATGGACACAGTCCACAATATTGTCTGGTAACAATTATAATTTTCAAGCACCTCCACTTTCTATCATAAAACTAATGCACTTATCAAAACTTGTGAACAGACTGTAAAAATATAACTTAAATACTGCTGTTTGGCTGGGTTTTCAAACATTTTGTTCAAACTAAGTATGTGATAACATCATTCTCTGAATCTTAACTATTGTAAAACCCTCGAATTTTGTTGCAAGGCAATTTTCCATGGATATCTTTTGCTACTTTGAAAATTTTGAAAAGTACGTCACCCAATATTGCTGTGTTGGATTCATGCATTATGAGGTAAGTTCATTTTTAAGTGATGAAATTTTTAAGTTTTTACATCAGTAGTGTGTTCCTTACCTGAGAAGTGCCGGTGATCATGTTCTTGATGAAATCCCTGTGACCAGGGGCGTCAATAATCGTCACCTCGTACTTGCTGGTCTCAAACTTCCAAAGAGCAATGTCAATAGTAATACCACGCTCGCGCTCTGCCTTTAGCTTGTCCAACACCCATGCGTACTTGAAGGAACCCTTGCCCATCTGAAATGCCAAACCAACTCTAATTCAATGATGGTTGCAAGTTAACAAACATCAATGATGACAATAGCAATTTTATGTGAATAACAGCAGTTTACAGCTACCTAGGAATCGCAATGCCACGTCTGCATGTCCCCAGCAACTTTATCCAACTTTTTCTTTTCAGGGAAAAACTTCATTTCATCACTTTCTTTTAAAACTCTTATTAGCCTTGACAAGAAAAATTATCTACACAGACTTCTGTTTAGTGAATATTTTTATAATAGGCACCACACCATCACTAGCATCATTCCAATAATTGGAATCTTTTCAAGTTTCCTTCCCCCACCCATCACAGCTACCATTTGACCCTCACCTCCTGTGCCTCCTTCTCGAACTTCTCAATCTGTCTCTTGTCGATACCACCACATTTGTAGATAAGATGGCCAGTTGTCGTAGACTTGCCAGAGTCTACGTGACCAATGACAACAATGTTGATGTGAGTCTTCTCCTTAGGCATGATGCTCTGTTAAGAGATGCTATTAAATAATGCAGCAAGCGACCTGAAAGGACAAAAGGTAACAACTGTAAGACTGGCTAAAAACGGACCAGAAAATCAGGAAAAAAGCCCACATTTCCCTATTCTAGTGTCATAACATTGATACAGAATTTCTATATAAAAAAAATTAATAAACAAGGAATAAGTGCACACTTCAATCACACTATGAACCTTCAGTGATTATTTACAGTATTCCAATTTGACCCATTTTTTTTTTTTTTTTTTTTGCTCTTTAATGCTGGATTCATGATATGAGATGAACAGAAGGTGCTTTTTATCACTCTACCTTGCTTACTGACTGTAGAGCTTCAAAAGTAATTGGAGTTATTTCTATTATACATTCAAAAAGAAAATGTACCAAAAACCTTTTAGAAGGTAAATTTCATGAAGATAACTTCTCACAAAAAAATACGTCTTGAGAGAAGCTAAATGAGTTAACATGTAAAAGATAGTTTCATAATATAGTTTATGAGTAAATAAAGACTTAAAAATGAATCATTTTTCATGTTGTGTAGTCACACATGTGGTTATGTTTGACCCTTGCCAAACCATAGATTTTGAAAAAAAAAAAACATTTCTAGTCCAAAACTATAAGTTTTTAATATTGAACAGGTCTACCTGATGTATGTTACCAGCTATATAGTAGAAAGAGTCCATACCGAACAAAAACCGGCTTTTTCCACACACGTGACTCAGGAATGTGTGACCGAAACTAACAAAGACTTGACGTCTTAAAATGTCACAAACACTGCTAATTCTAAGAAGAATTTCAGGGAAAACATTCGTCTTACGTTCAAAATTCTTTAAAACCTGCTGACCATTTTACACGTGGACTAGAAAATGATGGTCGAAAACTTGTCGACGTGGTAAAAATGGCAGCTGGGAGGGAATGAATGACCGGCAACTTTCTACAATTTGAACAGTCATATTTTAGCGTAAAATCACAACGACACAGAAAAATATCAACATCTACGTGTACTCTGATCTTTCTTCTATAAAAATATCGATACCATGGTGAAAGATGACACGTTCTACAAGTAGGTTTTAACCGATTCCCAACATCACCTCAAACACTTACCACTTATGTGCCACGAGTAGGTTAAAAGGAAAGAATAATGGCGAAATTCCTTTATATACGTGTAGTAGAGGGGTACCTGCAATTGACGTCATCCCCTAGGCAATGGCATGATTACGCATTCCGCCAGTTTCCGGTAGTCTCAAAAGAAATTTTAAACAACTCATTTTAATGCCCAGAAAGGATAAATTAATACCTTACCTGTTCAAAATACGTGAAAAAGTGGGATCTTTCTCTCCATAACAATAGCCAAATTATATAATTGTACAAACAAATATTTCGGGTAGCTTCGCGGGGTTGCTGTTCCATTTTGTAAGCCCACGCCCCCTAGCATCACTTATCACTTCTGATAAAGTTGCGCTCAGTGTAAGACATCTTACACTGATAAGAACTGGACTGGAGATTTACTGATGACAAGAAAATTATCTTTTGAAATGCCTTATCAGATCCTTTGCTTGAAGTTCACTAAAGAATGCGACCTGATCCCGTGTGCTGATAAACCTCTTTAATTTAAACAATTTTATTCACAGTGACTATATTAATTATATGTCTGCAGCCTAGGGTCTACAGCGAGGGCTAGGCAGAGATGCTGTGGGGATAGCTCATTTTTGGCGGAGGATGGGTGAGATGGGGGGGGGGGGGGGGGGGGGAGGGGGATTCTCTGTGTAACAAAAACGGCGTTTTTCAGCAGATTTAAGCAACAGGGCACAATAACTGAAAGTCGAGTGATATATCGGCCAATTAGCAAGGGCCTACAGGCCTATAATTAATTCAGCGTTTTTTTTGTTTTTTTTTTTTGACAAAATCTCCATGACGATTGCCTGTCAGCAGCCACTAGTCAAACGAGGGGGTAACCCTCTATAACACACACACACACACACACACACACACACACACATCAAAACATCCAATATTGTTTTATACCCCCCCCCCCCCCGTACACTTGAAAACACTCCGTATTGGGCAAAACACGTGACGAGTGGAAGTGTGAACATTAAGAAGCCACGCATACATGGTCTAGTCGGCTCTGATCACGAAACACAGACTAGACACACGAACGGTGAATATACAATGTAGATAAGAACACCAAACAGCGACCAGCCTCTTTGATATTGCGTTCTTGCATCCAATTCCGCACACACACAAGGGACCTTATCAGATTTAATTAGCGTCGTTGGCCCTGCGCATATAATTACCATTTTATGGTACATTTGTTCGCGATAAACTTTAAATTATTTCGCAGGTGCACGTGGATTGCATCACCACTTAATTACGAGGGACTCGTTTGGCCGGTTTGACCGTAATCGTTATTAATTATGAGATGCCCCAAACTTTGTTTAGAACGTCACAGACCGCTGTCAGCTGCGTATCAAAATTATTTTAGATATGAATATTAATCCGTGACAAAATGCTTTAATTTTGCTTTGACAATATCTTATTTGTTTATTTATTTATTTATTTTGTGAAAGGATTCGAAATAAAGAAAATGGTTACTATGTCGATGAAAGCGATATCAACAATGGCCCTATAGGTTAATGAATGCCGGTACATGTAGAGATTTTCCATAGTACATTCATGTGGCAAAATTTATTTTCCTGGTAATTTAATTTCAGCAGTATTCCAGCATATATCATAGAAAAACAAATTAATCTAAAAATTGAAGGACTCTTTTGGGAAGACTTGAGCAAGGAGGACAACAATAAACTGCGTACTTATCGAAAAGTAAAAAACTCATACGATCTCGAAAATTACTTAAAAATAAAAGCCACAAGCTCAGACAAAAAATACATTGCTAAAATGAGAATTAGTGAGCATGAGCTGGCGATAGAGAAAGGCAGGCACATGAAAATCCCCCTGGAAGAGAGAATGTGCACAAGCTGTAAAACGGAAATAGAGGACGAAAAACATTTCTTCCTCATTTGTAGTAAATACAAAAGAGAGCGACAAAATATGCTCAGTCCCCTCCCAAATACAGTGAGACAAAATTATGAATTAGCAGGCAGTGATCAGAAACTATCCATCCTCCTTAACCCTCGAGATCATAAGTCACTGAAAGCAATATCACATTATATACAGTTAAGAGCACAATGAAGTAGCACTCTCTTTTATGTAAGCATAATATGGTAGTTTCTGAAGTAGTCTAGACAGCAAACAATGTTAAATTGTAACATTCAAAGCTGAATAAATTATTATTATATCACGTCCAAAATCGTCCACATAAACCCGTTTTCTTTACTTTCTTTTTTTTTTTCGTTCATTTCTTTTCTTTGGTTGCGTATCAAGGCCATCCGAAGACATGCTCTCCATAACAGGTAACCATGTATGCTCCATCGTTGAGATTCATCGCAGTGAAAAAAATTGGATTGTAATTATAAAAGTCATCTTTATAGCTTCCTTATCGACACCCTTATTGCCAATTCACGGTGATGATTAGTCAACTGAACACATAATCGAAAGGTATATTATCCGGGCGGGTTTAAAATGTTCCAAAGATATTTTTCTGTCTATAAACTACACATCCGCCTTTCCCAGTCAGTACCCCAAAAAACGATAAAACCCCTCAAATACCAGTACCTGATGCCGATATATATATATATATATATATATATATATATATATATATATATATATATATCCCATTCTGTATACATATCTCCTATTAGATTGCTCTGAATGTTTTTTTTAGTAGAGGAAATCGCGACGTTCTAAGAATCCTGAACAACTGAATTAAAAAAAGGGATAAAACATAGAATTCAAGTACAGGGACGGGTCATGCATTGGACTGTGAGCCAGTAGGAGAATTCGAATTGGAGGGAAAAAATCCTGGACTGGATATTAGCAAGGATGTATTTTGAATTTGAAAGAACATAGCTGCATGTGTGTCTATTCTTCACTATATACTGTATGCCATAGTCGTTCCGCAGCGTCGTGGCTCGATTATCGTCTTCGTTTTACTTCCATAAAAACCTCGTCTCTGTTTATTCTTTAAAATCATAGACCTGCTTCTTCTTTGTTCAAGTCTAGATCAATATTTTTAATAACAATTAAAAATCATAATTAAAAAAATTAAAAAATAATAATTTAAAAACCCCTTTTTAAAAATATTAAAGTAGGCCTCATTTCATGGGACATTTCTGTGTCCACAAACACCTGTAAACAACATGTCATGAATGAAACTGCAATCAATTGTTTTCATGATTTCAAATGAACTTGGCTCATTTCTGTATGGAATGATTATATAAAAAACAATTAAACACGGAATTTAAAAAGTCACATAGGGGCCTATGCATGGCACGTAGGGCCTACGCGCCTAATACCTGTGGTGCCTGTAGGCTATACATTATATGATGTTTAAACTGAATTTAATTTTAAAATGACAGCAGCGTAGGCCCTGTCTTCAGCCGTATTATACTGCATCAGCATAAGACATTGGATAAAGTGGACGATCAGCCTCCAGCAAACTTATTTAGATTATTTTACATTATCTTATTATACTTTATTTCTTTTTATTTATTTATTATTTTTTTTACTACAACGTTGGCGTACAAAAAGTAAATCGATGAAAGTGCTCTGGATGCTTTGGAAAAGGAATCAAAGACATATCTATAAAAAATGATAAAAATAAAAACCAATTAAAAATTATGATTCTTGATTTAAAAATATTACTGTTTAAAATGACTTGATGCAACAATGTGCTGCTTGGTTATTCATAATTTGAACTGGTTAATATTTTTATCAATTCTTTTCTTTTTCTTTTGCGTGTATTTTATATTCTTTAATTTTTATTGCAAAAAATTAATTGAGCATAATTGGATTTAAAACTTTAAATATATTAATATATATCATTATTATGTTAATTATAAATATGGAAAATATGCTCTAAAAATAAAATGAGGTTAACAGTGCATTTTGTTATCCTTCATACTATTTAAAAAACAAATGGAAACAAAATATTCGATTCATGGCCAAGCGTTTTAACTAGGTCAAAAAGCTTTATCTATATATTTGGCAATACTCCGCGTCATCAAACGAGGTGATGAAAGATGATGCAATACCTGGTCATTTACAGAGGAGGGAGTGTGTTTATTAGAAAGAATACCAAAATGGCGGCCCCCGTGCTGGGTGTTCGCACGTTGAGAAACGTATTGACCAGCAGAGTTTTGTCCTTTCCTGCCAAACAGGTGTCTCTTTTATGTCTGTTTTTTGTTTTGAGAATTTGTTTAAGAATATAGTACAGGGGATATAATGAAATACTGAGGGATCCAGGGTTTTGCTGGGGTTTGGGGCTCAACAATTGCTTCGATCTCTCGACGTTTCGTCCTGGCAAATTTGAATCGGCAGACGAAGATATTATTAACTTCATTTGCAGTGTGTAGAGCACAGTGATGGAAAGAAATTGGTTAAGTCAATTTGCTTGTTATGTGGTTGGTTCGGAAGAAAGAGTCGGCAATCTGCTTGGGGGGGGGGGGGGGGGGGGGTCGTTCTCCCCCACCCCTACCGTACTACCATCTCCTGGATTCGCCATTGTAAAATTATCTCTCGGTGATTGCTTTTGAAGTGAAGAATTTCATAAGTTATGATTTACCCAGACAGCTAAGGCGTAGTTCTAGGGCTGCATGGGAAAAGCAGTTCACCAACCTAACATTGTTTGAATAAATAGATGGGTTAAATGCATGTAATAGATAACTTAGTTAATAATTAGTTTACTTAAAAAGTCAAATATTTTTAAAGTCTTGAGTATATGTGAATGAAGACTAATTTGAATCATGACTTTGTAATTATATACAATTAGGTGTGTGTACTGGGTGGAAGGATTTTAGAGGAACCATCACATCAAAGTACTTGTGTAACCCCAGTACGCAGTCACTCTGTCAAATGGGCTGTGATGAAAGATGCCAAAAAGAGAGAAACTGTAAAAACAGCTTACAGTGACAGATTACGATTGAACTGCATACGAAAAAATACCATTTTGCCAAAGGAAATAAGGGTTGGTATAGTTTTTTTTTAGATTTATTAACCAAATTCAATATAAATATTAAAACATATTTATGCTAGGTTGAGTGTGTTTCTGCACCCCTCTTCACCCTTCCCTTCCTCCAACTCTCTCGTACTCTGCCCCCTATCTGCTCTTTCCTTCTTTTCATCCCTCATTTCTTCTTTCTCTCTCCCATAATCCTTACTCTCATTCTCTCTCTCATACAGAGAGAGAGAGAGAGAGGGGACATCTAACACAATCAAAGACAATCAGTACTTTGCAATTCAATTAACTGCAAGGAGCCCTTTTCATAAGATGAACTTCAGCCCAAACATTGGTCCAAACTTTTCCGACTTAAAATTTTTGTCCATATATTCATTAAATATAACAGTCACACATTGTAATTTTTATGTAATATTTGTTTGAATAGAATTGGTTTATACAAAACAGTTATTGCATATACCTCTTAGAGAAGTGTGATAGCCCTAGCAAATTTACATGCCCACTACTAAGGCCCATGTTCTACATACCAATTCCATGGCTATCAGCCATATGTGAACACTTGTCTTGCACAGTATCATGTAATGGTTTGCTGATATGGATTCTTAGACCAAAATTAAATGCTAATATTTTCTCCTTAAAGAGTCAACATTAATATTTAAAAAAAAATACGATGATTAGTCAATTTTTAATAGGTCAAACTTTTGAATTTACGGGCACTGTATTCTTTTAGTTATAATTTCTTAAATTTGGAACCTTCCTTTTGAGTGGTAGCAACAAAATTTAAAAATAGGGTACTTTGTAGTTATATTTTATATAGTAAAAACACCACAAATGCCATATAGAAATTTATACAATTTTAGTGATTGTAAAATTACATAATTGAAATGTGATAATTTTTGCCCATTGAAAAGATTTAGTCATAGGGACCATTCAAAACAGATGAGTGGAGTTCTAAGCAATCCGACGACTAAATATGGCCAACCCCACTTCAAAAGCGATGCCGCTGATTCCCGTGGAGACCGGGAGACTGTCATGGAATTTTTGGCATCACTTTTGAAGTGGGGTCGGCCATATGTAGTCAGAAGATCAGTAAGTACTCTATTCTGAATGGGGCCATTACCATAACTTCATTTGAGCAAAATTTTCTTTTAATCCATTCCAGCATGTAGCAGACGAGGAGATTGCCGAACTGCCACGGAACTCAAACCCCATTAGAATTGTAGCACGGTGCGTTGTAACTGGGACCTCCCGGGGGATCGTACGCAGGTGGCGCATGCATCGCATACCTTTCAGGCGATTGGCTGACGAAAACCAACTCTCCGGAGTGACAAGGTCCATATTTTAGATCAGTCCTTGTGGATTTGACTTGTAAATTGTAAGGATTGGAATCTTGTTTGTTCTTGCACACTAAAATGTACATGTATCTGTTGTTTACACTTAGATGGGATGTATGAATTATTAAATGACTTTGAATTCAGGGTTTGGAAATTATAATTAAACTCAGAATGAACATAGATACACCTACTAGACCTTCTGACGAGTAATCTGTCTCTCATAGACTCTATGGGGATGTAACCTAAGCATCATTTCTGAATTTTCTTTGAAACTACAGTTGATGTGTGGAAAGTTGTGTCGTACCTCTGGCAGGCTATTAAATAGTTACAGGCTAAATGTGCCACACAAGCAAGGGCCTTATAAGAACATTAAGTTAATGGCAGGAGTAACAATTTCAAACTGTGAGGGCCATGTGCAGATTTCTATGTATTCTGTGTATAATTAGGGGAGACTCCCCTTGTTTCTATTGTAAATATGACAGCAGACAATAAATATATGCATCTGGAAGGCTGTGATGTTGGCAACTCTGTATGTAGAGCATTATGTTCAGCGATCATCAGATAGACTGGGTTCCCACAGATTTAGATCGATCCATCTGGATCAACCTAACTCCCTGGGGGTTCACGCTAGATTGCTGTCAGCTTCCGGGAGCCTAGTGCGCACAAAAGTTAATTACCCCCGTACAGCATTTAGTAGGGGGACAGACATTTAAGCCGGTTTAGCTGACAGCAATCTACTGAGACTCCCCAGGAGGATAGATCGATCTAAATATCTGTGGGAATGGTCTCATATTGTCAGTTTTGACATGGAGAGTGGTTTTAAATCTTGTAACTCTATTAATAAATAAATAGTAGTACTAGGAAATGTTTATGGTAGCTCAATAAATATTGGTCCTGGAGTTGTGGAACAGAGGAAAGGGACCAAAGAGAAAATCATATATAATGAGTATAATCACACAAGACCAAAAAAGTTCAGAAACATGAAATTGTTTTTCAGTATAAAATAATTAAAAAAAACTATGTAATGTAGTGTATTAAAAAGTAATGAAAGGTGGGTGCATTATCCATCGATATTTGGTTACAATACAGGTATTTACTATTTCCTGAGGAGGGAACACTGGGCATACTTAAATTCCCTCCACTAGTTTCTATGGCATCCCCTTGTTCAGAAAAACTTTAAGATAAATATAATAATATAAAAATGTTCATAGAGTAAAGAGATAAAAATAAATGGAATGAGATTTGAAACATGAAAAATGATAACATAATAATAATAATAATATCTGCAAAAAAGGTATAATAATAATAAAAAAAGAACCAAAGGCAAGCAGCTTTTCGTCCTCATCCCTTGTATGTAATTGAAGTTAAAAAGCCCTCTAATAGTTTAAGATTGGCCAGCAAAACAAGGCACAAAATGTTCATCCTTGTTCTCGTTCTCTCTCTCTCTCTCTCTCTCTTTTAGAAAAATCCTAGAAGATTTGTACAATATGGAGTAGCTGTGAGTGCGCATTTCGAAAGTAGCATCAATTGATGATTAGAAAAGTTAGGCTTGCTGTATTGTCTTTGGAAGGTAGAAGAGGGTACTTCCAAAACTGTGGGTGGCCTCTATGCCCCCCTCGTCCCAAGATTCTGATGTTGTACCTAAAGAAAGGTGTAAAAAAAAAATCGGCCTAACCTCTTCATATTAGCACTTATGAAATATGTGATGTGCAATCCTTACTTAACCCTTACTTATTTTCTTACAGAGATCATCCCAGTTCTAAGCACAAATTCTTGCGTAACATAAAAGTGCTCTTAAATAGCCTTGGTTATTTAGTGAAAAACCAATCTGTGGTCTTGGTAGGGGGTTAGTTGGGATGGAAACCTGAAATGAACCTTATGAAAAGATGTGTGAACTTGGATTGGACCTTTGATAAAATTTATAAAGGTTGATTTTGGTTTAAAATGACTGGCCAGTCATTATTACCAGCAACTATTTTCCAATAATAAGCTCCATTGGAGATAACAACATCAGGTATGCTCAAGAAAAAATATTTGAGGGGTTAAATCATTTTGAAGCTATAGGTTTTATGAGAAGCTATGGATGGCAAAAATAAGCATTTTTGGGATTTTCAAACCCATGGTGTGTACATTTAAGGTATTCTTACTGCATTTTTAAAACAAATTAATATTAAAATATGAATAGTTACAAGATTGAGTTAAGGTTAAGATTTGCCAGCAAAGCAAGGCACAATGTCTACCCTTGTGCCCCTCTCTCTCTCTTTCTCTCTCTCTCTCTCTTTGCAAAATACTAGGTGCAGCAGTAGCAAGTTCTGCGGTATGGAGTAGGTGTAAGTGGACATTAATATGGAGTACCATCTACCAGGGCCGCATTTATTATTATGGACATATTTGCTGAGGCGATCATCAGACCAAAATGACCGTCTATTAATCCTATAGACATGTCTGTGAATATCTGTGGAAAATCAACCTGTCGCTCTGGTAGAGGGTATGTATGAAGTATGTGATAATTTATTTAATAAATGTTTATATGTCTGGTGTTTTGATTTGGTGGGTGGTTTGAGGTACTTCCAAAACCTCGGGGTGACCTCTATGCTGCCCCTCCCCTCCCCCCCCCACCCCCCGCGCGCCCGCCCGCCCACCCGCCCCGAGATTCTGATATTGCACTTGAAGAAAGGTGTCCAAAGAATAACTCGGCCTAAAAACTCTTCACATTAGCACTTATTTATGAAATATGTTTAATCCTCACTTAATCCTTACTTATTTTCTAACAGGTGAACCCAATTCTAAGCACAAATTGATGCGTAACATAAAAGCGCACTTAAATAGCCTTGGCTATTTCGAGAAAAACCAATCTGTGGTCCGCGTAGGGGGTAAGTGTGTATTACAACCTGAAATGAACCTTTTGTAAAGATACGCGAACATCACAGCGAAGTCAAGACTTCATTAATTATAATAATCGTCTTAAAAGATTTGTGTATGAAAGCGACTTGATGACATCAAGATTAAACCTATGAAAAGATGTGTTAGGTACAAGCTCACATCGAGATTAAATATAACCCTAACAATGAGTTCACACCAAGATTAAATTAAACCAAGAGAAAATATGTAAACTAAAAGTTCATATCGAGGTGAAATTTAAATCTGAAAGTGAGCTCACACAAAGGCTAAATGAAACCTGTGAAAAGGTGTGTAAGATTCAAGTTCATATGCAGATGAAATAAAATCCTAAAAATGGATTTCACACCAAGGCTGAATTGAAACTGTGATTTGTGAAGAACAATTTAAATTTTAGACTATAAGGTTATTCATTGCGGTTACAGACATATGAGTGCACTTGTCCAACTGTCACCGCTAAATCTGACCAAATGCCGCCAAATAGTTCCAAAAAGGATATTTTTATAAATCCGACAGAGCTAAGACCCACTACACGTTGTTTAATGGGCCATAGCATAGAGTTTCCTTAAATCATCTCTCCTAAATATGACATTTGCACAGATATTTTCTTCTCAGCTACTGTGTTTTACGGACCGAAGGGAAATAAGTAGGTCAAATTTACAACCAGAAGTTTTAAAGCCAAGATGCTTAATTTTTTTAACGTGTGCATTTAATTTTTGTAATATAAATAAAAGGACATCATCAAATAAATCTGGTCGGACCAAATGTGCAAATTGCAAATTTTTGTAATTCAGCAGCCCTAAATTTTTATTTATCGGACCTACAATCCCCGACTTGTGCGACAAATATATATCCTTCTCAAGTGACGTGACATAATTTTTCACTACATGTATATATATATGCAATGTCTATTAAAGGACGATCTGCCAAACACTGCCGATAAAAACATATTTGAAATATTAAAAAAAAATTAAAAAGGGAACGACGTTGATAGACTTATTATCATTGAGTAGTTGTCTCTTAATTGACAGATGTATAAACTTTTTTCAAGCGAGTTTTCAGTAAAATCATAAACATTTAGGGCTTAAATGGACCGAAAAATCAAATCATCAATCAAAGAATCACCTAATTAATGATCATTTTTGGCACATTTCACTGAATTTAGCGGACTTAAGCAATGCTCATTGCATTTCGTCGACCATTCTATTATAAGATCCATGTTTAATGCATTTTCATAATTCATCAAGATTCTAGTGGTTCATGATGTAGAGGAAATTGCAAAAAGTAGATCTAATAATACTTAATAAATCGTTTTGCAAGCAAGCTCAGGCCCGTACCCAGCAATTTCAAAGGGGGGGTTCTTTTTCTAAAAAAGTGGACCTTTTACCATATAATCCCCATGTACCTAGGTCAAATTTTACCCAGAGTGGACCTTTTTTCAGCAAAAAGGGGGGTTCTTTCGAACCCCCCGAACCCCCCTGGCTACGGGCCTGAAGCTAAAGAGCGTGCGTGTGACCCCCAATTTCATATCTACAGTAATTTGCCCATGTTCTGATGAGTGATACGTAACTTTGCCCTTGTTGGCAATACTTAACATGTTATGACAGTTCCCTCACGATTTAGCAAATGTGAACAAGTGCTTAACTTTTAGCTATGCTGCTTATCTATACTTCTTGAAAACCAAAGAATATTTGCGGCTAAAACATGAAATTCACAGTCAAGTCCAGCTAGTTTGCATAAGTTCTGACGAAAGAAAAAACTTCCATTTCTGGATCTCATAACACGTTTATCAGCTTTACCGAGCACTTTGCACTTTGCACAAACCTGATTAAATGATATAAAAAAACTGAATATTTCCTTAAACTTGGCGCAATAGTTTAATCAACCCAATATATACAGGAAAGTGGAGGGAAAACACTGAGATATTCGTCTGCTGACAACAGCATTAATTAATTTTGAAATACATACTAACGCAACGCCAACCGGTAAAAAAGCAAGGTAAAAATGCAAGAAACGAGCACGTGCTAATAAATATAAGAAGATCACAGCTTATATATGCAGTTCCAATTAATTTCAAAGCTATTCAGTTATATCTGCAAGGTGTTGGATTGGTGTGAAATACCGTGGGCGTTTAGACGTGTAAAATGTATGTAGACGTCAGCGTTGTCCGTCTGAAATCGATGTTGTTTTTACCCTGTGTGGACCATGTTGTTTTGCTGCTCTGTAAGTTGGAACAAACAATTATTTATCCTATTACCACGGCAACGGGGCTTTGTATTAGGTAATAGGCGGGTGTTGTTATCAAAGCAATATTAAAATGTTTAAGCACCTTAAAAATAGGTTGAGAAGTACTGATATGAAAAAGGCATTAAAATGATCTGTTTGTTACGACCATTGAGAAAAACATTTTAATAAATTAGAACATCAAAGTAGAGGAGTGTAAATTTGCCTGTGTGTGTGTGTGCGCGGCGGGGGGGGGCAAAGTTAAAGCAAAAAAAGTAGTTTATCACTATATGAGGTGACAATTCAGATATTCCTTCAAATGCTACATAATGGCCAATTCGATGGGTTTTAAAACACCACAATTATTTATAGGAGGTAAATTGGCTGTTGCGCCATGTTTATTTTAGCTTTTTTTAAATGATATTAAAAATCTGAACGTTTCCTTAAATTTTGCGCAATAGTTTAATCAACCGAATATACACAGGAAAGGGAAGGGAAAGAACGAGATATTCATCTGCTATCGGCGGTTTCATTTTTCTTAAACCAGAATATAATATATCAGGTTAATTAACAACGTGGGGAAGATTAATGGCAATAACAACTAAACGAGGCACAAAGTGGGTTTGGAAAATTACGCAGAACAGTGGATGATATTTTGCTTGAAACACAGTTCTTGGAAAAGACTTAATTGTCACATTAGATTAGGTTTCTATTTTTAAAATAAATACCCTTTGATTATGAAATTGCACACCAGTTCATGACTTGGGTTATGTAATCATATTAATTATTTCCTATAGTGTTTCCGCGTCTTGGAAGTGAAGGGATTCTCAAAGCGGTATCAAATGGTGTGGTTGTATTAACACCATGTCCGCTTTTATTAAAATCATATCCGTCTAATTAGGATTTGACTGGGTTTCAAGAAGTGCTCTATTATTTTCAATTTTTCGAGACATAACTCTTAAAAAGACTTTATATTTGAAGAATACTGTGGTCGATTTATGCTTTTTTTTTTTTAGCTTTTATTTCCTTTTTGTTAGTTTAAATTTTCAATGTAGATAATATTTGTAAACAGTGAAGAGCCGCTCGCTTTATAAATACAACTCTACTTTATCTACTGCCTTTTACATTTATAACTATACTTTATCAACTGTTGCATATTTCTCCTCTGAGTAGAAGACAATGTACTACAGAGATCCTATTATAAATATACAGTTGGTAATTTTGTCTAACGCGGTTAAAGGCAGACGAGCAAGACTATAATAGGCGACAGGGGATCACCTTGGAAGACGTGAATCTTCTAGAGGTTCATCCAATTCTCTTTATCTCTCTCTCTCTCCACACTCTAGAGTAAAAATTTCTGGCTGCATTGCAAATGTTGTCCTGGGAGGCCATTCCGCTGAGGATCAGATCAAGCTGTAGAGAGAGAAGAAGGCGAATGCTAGATTGAAAAATGTAGTATGAATCGAACGGCGATGTGTTTTATATGCGCTATAATTTCATGCCGCCCTTGGTTGCATCCTGAGTGTAGCCGTTAACGTTACGTTAGAATGCTTTCAGCGTTGATATGTCGATGGAATCATAAGGCCCCGTATTAAAAATAATAATAATAATAATAATAATAATAATAATAATAATAATTATTATTAAGAGAGATTGCATCCCCTAGGGTTAAAGTTGTACATAACATATATTCAATTTATAATACATAATTCAAAGGAAGCCTGGTCATATTATCCCTGTGGCAAACTGTGAGTTGGCGTTCTCGACTACCTGGTCTGGCTCTAATGTTTTCTAATGCATGACATTAGACCAATGTCGCGAATGTATTCCTTTTCATTTTTTCTTTCGATTCTCGTTACCGTTAGTTTTATAAATAAAGTGTCACCCGTAGTTAAGACCAGATATCCCCCTGGCGTTTAGTACCCTTTAGAAAAGTTGGTGATTATACGAGTACGAGTACAAGAGGAAGCGTGTAAGTCTGTTCATCTGATTGCATTCAGCGAAAGTTCATGTGGAGTTGGTGCGCAGTAGTTAAAATTCAGCGTGAACGGTCCCATATCTAATCTAAACACAAAAAAGATATAGAAGGACAATTAACAGAGGTGAGAAGTGCATGGAACGCGATTGACCGGCCATTCTTCTAGATGGATTTAACAAAGTGTAAGCAAGTCTCTCTTGTGACACCCAAAAAGCCTGAAGGTGACATTCACACTAGAACATAACATTTATACTTAACTTATCAGCATATATATATATATATATATATATATATATATATATATATATATATATATATATATATATATATATATATATATCTTTGACACGGACGAGTGGTGTGTGTGGGAGTGTTGAAGAGAAAAGGTCGCGGATCGTCTATCTAAGACTGATGCACTGTATATGCGGTTTCCTCACAGTCCGGCATATGTTCCTTGGTGATTAGATTCTCCGCCAATTCGCGTCCTTCTGTGAGATAGAGGGATAACAATTGTTCGTATGAGATTCATATTTCACAATAAATACATTGTAAACAACTCACAGAAATGGAATAAATTCCATCGTACCACCAAAACAGCGGTTATTGCATTTATTCCAGAGTCTGATGCTTGTCATTAGGCCGCGTGCACCTTCATAGATGGCTATACTTTCTTAATAATCACTTAAGAGATTGTTATAAAAAACAACATTTTTAGAAAAAAAAAAAAACATGGACTCACTTTGAATGTCGGTACAGTTGTATTGCAGAAGTATAAATGCACCTATCGATTTGAAAAAGAGCCGAAGGTCGTGACTAATTCTATTAACACATCTCTGATTTCCTTGCCTTGCATGTAGATTTAATTTCATGAGGGTTGAAGTTGTATGCATTGCTTCAGGATTTGTGTTGGAGATTTCCGGCTTCGTTCCAGTACAAGTGTGAATAAGTATGAATTGACAAAAATAATGCATGTATTTCTAAAATATATTTTGTTTTTCAGACGAATGTTTATTCCAACATATTCTCACTCACAACCACCTCTTTTTGTTATCCAAATTGATAAAAAAACAGAGGTGATAAAATAAAAGACGTTTTCATATCTGTTTTGTATTTATGCAATTATTCTTAAAAATGAGCTCATCTTTATAATAACAACCTTGTCGTTCATGTATCGACTAACCCTTCTGAAGCCATCCTACATGTGTTAGTAAATATCCAAAATAAAATGTTGTAGGTCTAAACTGACTATCCTGTAAGGCTACCTAATTATCTTTCAAATTCAGAAATTAAAAATGGATTTGATGAATACACTGTGTCAACATTTCCTTCTTAAATGTCAAGAAGACATCATCAATCTCCAGGAAGTATGATTTGTTTAGAACCAAGTTATATAATAATACATGTCTACTTCAAGTGCTCAGCCGGGTCTATTAAGACCATATGAGTGATGAGTGGGAAGAAAATGCCTTTTTTTAAAAAGGAAAGTTAGATTTTGGGCGAAAATCCCCTTCAACATACCTTTAATCTGTTTTGTTCACTTTGCTACTAGGTTCACATATATTGATCGTATTTGTCTCAGCGGTTTTGGGTCGAGTATACATTTCACATCAGGCAAAAAAAATATCATTGTCAAGGAAAACAATCTTTTTCTCATATAAGGGTCGAACGCTCTCTGGCATCACTATTAGTGGACTATCGAAAGGTCAGCTTTAGAGGTCATTACGTTGGCATGGAAACAGACGACAGGATTAACTACAGGTCCCTTAAATACTGTGCACTTGTCGACACTGACAGTAGAACATGACACAGAGAAAGAGGGGTTAGTCTGAAGAAGCTTACGCTTGAGAGGAAACCCAAGCTCGAAATGTGGGCGAACGACTCTGCCATTATGGCAGAGGTTCTTGACGAAAAGAGCGAGCTGGAGATCGCGATTAATGGTTCTGCAATTACACGCTACGTTCTGCCCCTGCCAGTTGCTTATTTCGTCATGACACTCAAAGTCATACTGGTCATTTTGGTCATTTCGGCCAATTTATTTATGCTGACGGTGTTCTGTATGCGTAAGAAGGTCCGCGAGTATCCACAAGGAGTGTTCATGGTATCCATGACGGTGGCTGACTTTCTTCAGGGAATCGCAGTGATGCCCTTTGGCGTGGAAACCACCCTCACTAACACGTGGCCCTATGGGAAAGTGATGTGTGACGTCACCGCGACGGCTCTGACCGTCAGTTTTGCCGTCTCTCTCTGCAGTATGTGTCTGATGAGCGTGGACAGGCATCTAGAGATCAGGTAAGTTTTGAGCATGTCCTTCGCTATATTTATAATTTAAACGTGTATTCTGTAGTTTTTCTCTTTTTTACCCTCATTCTCCAATCTAACATCAACCTTACACTTATTCTCTAACAAACCCTCTCTCTGTCTCTCTCCATCCTGTCCTTTCGAGCTCCCTCTCTTTCTTTAAATCTCTCTTTATTTTCTCTCTCTTCATCCAATCCTCTCATTCCCCCTCCTCTCTCTCTCTCTCTCTCATGTACGTTATGTACTGTAAGACCAAGAGCACATTGTAACCTACGCTGGCGTAAATTTGTCAATATTGAAATGGTGGTAGTGGTTTTCCTTGCCGTTCCATCTAGTCACTTTACAGCATAGGGAAATCACGATAGTGTTGAGGGATAAGCTTACAGTATAATTAACACCATCACACATGTGTGTATATTTGTATACATGATAATTGATATAAGATTTGTGATGAAGAATATTTCCTATAATATTTAACATGACTGATAAACTTATAGTTTATAGGCCTGTATTAAAAAACGTCCAAAAACCCATTCTCTCTTGAATCATGAGTTTCACACAATTGATATACTGATATATAATTAAAAAAGGGGCATTTTCCCAATAGCTCGTTTTACTTTATTTTTATGAGTTATAAAATGGGAAAATAAAGTCAAAATGGAATTCACCCTCTCAGATTTTTGCATCACAATTTTTAGTGCCTTTTAGTGCTCTGTGAATCATTTTGAGCGTGTGATTGTGGTCTCACATTCTTAATTTAAATATTAATTTACGTATTATTTCTCTTATGTTTTCGTAAGTCGTATTAAAAGTCATTAACGTCTGTCACGTATCTGCATAAAAATCAATTTTGTTAATTGACATAAGCCTATTCTCTAAGCATTTCGATGACTTTTTGCTCATTGAAGGGTTATTAAATTGGCCAAACATTTTGCCAAAAAATGAATTTTTCTGGGGTAAACAGCAATTTTCCCATACTTAACTATGGTTAATGAATCCATTTCTACATTCAAAGTTAGTCCCTGGCTTTTTTTCTAAAAAGTTTGCTTTTTTTTAATTAATCTCTTAAGAGATTATTACAGAGTATACCCATCTATGGAGGTCACGTGGTCGGATGGCATATATTTCAGATTTATTGCTATAACTGTCGTTTTTGTGGTAAAATAGAATATTTTATATTTCTACGAGTTGTTTACAATGTGTATATTGTGAAATATGGATCTCATATGAAGAGTTGTCATCCCTTTAAGCCTATTCTCTAAACGTTTCTCAAAATCTTCCGGAAAATGTTTTTCATTCACCAAGTTTTAGTATATCCAGACCAGTGTTCCAAATCCAACGGTTGTTTGCCCTCAAGGCTCAGATACGAAATACCATTACAGGAAGAAAGGATTGAGACTGTGTCATAAGCATTTGTGTTCTGCGAGGCCAAATCCAATATTTCACAAATAAAACCAAATCCCTTTCTCTGTGTTTTTTTTCTCCCTCTCTTATTGCCAACCTAGATGCAGTGTCGCCCATTACTCATACATTTTGAATTGATCAAGGTACATGTATCTATTGCCTGAAATAACATTTGAATGTTAATAAAATGACATAGCATAAAAGAAAACGTATTTAACTAAAAGAAATCATATTTTTAAGAACAAAAATAACTGTTAGACAGAGGGTTAGTCAGTGAATGACTACATCTTGAAACACCCTGTTTTTTAGTGGCAGTCAATCTAACCGCCAGTATGGACTTACAATATTTAGATTCAATTTCTTAGAAAATCTTGCGATTTACATGAAACAAGGAGACTCCACTCCCGATTAGGGATATCGGCAACACAAACGTGCGTGTATAAAAAAATACCTAGAGTACTATTTCAACATTCAAGCACTGGTATATATATATATATATCATATATATCATTACTCCTATATAACACTTATTCCAAACAGGAGTTCTAATCTGTCCTGTTTTGTCGGAGCTATTGGCCTGGATGGAAATTTCCCACTGCAATTTAGCAGTATTCCTAGATACTCAATACTCAGTTTTCACTCTGTGATAAAACCTAGATCGGCATTTATTTAACTATTCTCTCCTTATTTGTAAGAACTACAGTTTCTATGTTGCTTACGTTAATTTCACCAAACAAGGAACTCAACGAAAACACCGGCCATATTGTATGGGTTATTGTGTTAGCATGTCTTCTTGTCAGCTAATGACAAACGACTGAACGCTAGACTCGGGTTTTTATTCCAGTTCTTCAGTCGGTGAGATATTAGGGGTTTAATTGAAGAATGCCGGAATATCATCTTTCACGTTCTAGAGAGTTTATTGAAGTGCATTGAACGCGGTATTGTGGAATCAGTAGGGTTTTGATATAAAGAAGTTGTGCGTGCATCAATTTTGGTTGGATTATATTGATATATTACCGTCATTACAGCCGAGATTATAAGTGATAGTGTTAAGTTAAGGTCAGGTACGTGAGAGCACAGGTTGTATGTACGTCACAGGCAGTTTGAAAAGTACAACTAAAACAAAACCGCCGCGCTCTGCACTCGTGGCAGCACCTGCAAATCTGAAAAGCCTAAAATATGCCTTACATAAGTTTAGTAATTTCATGTCTTCACTAACAAAGATAGTGGCCCGTCGTAATTTACTGTTTGTCAGTCCAATTAAGATGTCGTTCTACGTAAATCGATCCAACTCCGCGGGGACTCTCGCTGACTGCAATCAGATTTACAGATTACCACGCCTCCACCTTGTTTCCAACATACTCGTGTAATTACTAGCTTTTCTGTATTCTACTCAACGCCTGAGATTAATACGAGTCTTGATAGCGTGAAGAGCACCGTTGCATATATCGTTTGTGATCACGGCCAGCCAACTATAGATTAACTGACGTCGTGATCATATTCCCAGCCTTTCTAACACGTCTGTGACATAAGTCCAGCAAGAACATGAATAAAAAAGAAAAAATATGTTAAACTATACCGCTGTGTGTTACCTGTTATAATTTCAACTTTTTCAATTTTTTTCATCACGTAGCGTGACTTCTTTTGGTTCAGCAAGAGGTGTTCACTAAGTTACACTTAAGTTGCATTGAAAAAGATTTTTTCAAAGAAATGGTCAACCATCTCTAAGCCAGGCTCATTTTCCATACTATCAATTTAGGCTACGTTTTTTCTGATATTGTTTTGAAGGGTTTTATCGTTTTCAAGATCTAGATTGGGAAATAAAAGTAGCTTTGCAGTATATTTAGACAAAATGATAGGAGACGATTTTCCAATACGCGCTAAATGCCTTCAGATATTTAAAAATAAAGATACAGAAAAAGCATTCGTATAAGGAGGAAAAGCAAAGACTTTCGAGACACAACCAGAAAAGTTGCGACAAAACTTTTATTCATAATTCAACTTGTTTTAATCGATTCTATCGAATATATTTTTCCTTTATTATATAGTAATAGATCGGATATTTTAATTTATTTAATTTCAGATACAATATAAACTACCATCAAATCATGACCCAGAAGAGAGCCGTGGCATTGGTCTTGATACTGTGGGGCTCATGCATCGTTGGCCTTAGTACAGTGATCATAGGATTTGTTGGCGGGTTCTACAACAGGAAAACGGAGCAATGTGTGCCAGCGTACATCCCGCGAGGCCTCCCAGCGATGTTCCTGGTCCACTTTGGCTACCAGGTGGTAGCGTACTTGATCATCATTTGCGTGAATGTGGCAAACCTGATGATTGCCCGCCGGCATTTGAAGATGATTGCCCAACAGGTCCAGAACTTGCAGCACAACGAAGATGCCGGCGGCAGCGTGAAGAAGTCCATGCGTGGCTTGAAAACAGTCTCCATCATGGTGGGAGTCCTCATCGTTTGTTGGACCCCTCTCATCGTGGCCAAGCTGTACATCTTCGCCACCCGCTCCTACGTCAACTGCGGCATAACGGTGTGGATCGCTTACTCCAACAGCTTCTTCAACACGGTCATCTACTCTCGGCGCACCGCGGTTTTTCGCGCGGAGATGGAGAGAATGAAGCTTATCCTGCGCGGTGTTTTTTCACGCAACCAAGTCAACGTCGAGTCTACGACCTCTTCTACCTGAAGATACCCTGCATGAGGTTCAACCCAGCAATCCAACGTGGGTAACTATTTTTATCATCATTGTTGAATCTGATTTTAGAATACTATTAACAATTACATGGTAAACAAAGATTTCGTTTGAGCACTTTTGAAAACTGCGACAATATTGTGCGAAAATGAGACTGTCCAAAAAAATAAACGAGACGATATGTAAAGAAACCTTTGCATCGCACACAGAGGTACATCCACTGTTCGTTCCGAACACCAAAATATTAATGAATATGATTATAAATATTAAAAAATTAAAGACGCCCAGGAGAAGCTGTGTGTGTACAACTACCTCAATTTCATGAATTGGGCAGGGAAATTGAGCAAAAAAGAATGAATAATTTTCATCGGGGGAGGGGGGGGGGAGGGTTATTCGTGCGAAGTATCTCCCTGAAATACCTAAGACACAGAATCACAAAGCTACTCATTAAGGCTTCATGTTCTCTTCCGTGACAGGTTTTTTTTGTTAGATCAAAAGACTGCGTGTGTCAAGTAAAAATGGGATAGAATAGGGTTACCTGTAAACATAAGAGTCTGGTTTTGAATCTATATAATAGACAAAAGAAATCCACAGAAAGATGTCAAACCGACAACAAATGATGAGACGGCTTAGTTCTTTAAGTAGAGAATGATCATTACCGCAGCTGTATTAGATGTCTCTAATAATAGGTTTGTTCCGCCCTCATACATGTATATTACACAACACTTTTTTCAAAGGTATTTGCTTCACCAACAGCCTCAACATAGCAATGCAACTCTGTAGATAGTCTCACCCGTGTCCGTTGTTCGTAGAATACCAATGTCAGGAATTAGGTGTGACTATTAATCAAACAGGCCAGTAGCCAGCAAAAGGGGGTTCTTTTTTTTTTGAAAAAGTAGATATTTTACCATGAAACCATCGTGTATCTAGATAATATTTTACCCAGAGGGGTCCTTTTCCCAGGAAAACGGGAGGCTCTTTCGCCCCCCCCCCCACCACCCCGGGCTACAGGCCTGTCAAACATATGCATTTGTATGCATTTCTTAGAGAATAGCTCCAAGTCTTGGATTAAAGGCATGCAATGAGAGGTAAAGCCTTTTGATAACCGAAAAAAAAAAATACAGGAGATTCCTTAATTAATAGGAGATCCGCATCTGAAGCTCTTGACAAAAAGTTCGGTCCATAATGGAATGTCTGTTATTAACTATAATTATTTCTGTGATACAAACAGCTTGTCCAGATATAAAACCAGCACCTAGTGACATGCAGTAGTTTCAGGTAATAGCCTGACTGCAGTGCAATAGAGAAAAAGGCAAAAGAAACTCTAGTCGTCATGAAAAGACTTCATTTATCTTTTGATATCGTATAAAACACGTTGTGTTACATATATAAAGGATTGTGCTAATATTTATGATGTGATATATTGCGAATAATATATATGAAGTAATGTCTTGTGAATGACTAATCATATTATGTAATATCTTGAGAATAATATACATGACGTCATATATTGTGAATAATATATATGACGTCATATCTTGTGAATAATATACATGACGTCATATATTGTGAATAATATAAATTAGTTTATATCTTGTGAATGATGCATAGTACCTAATGTCAAGTGAATATATTATATGAAGTAATTTTTTATGAATATCATATTTCCACGAAAGATGAACAATTTTTTACCTTGTGAAATGAGCTAAATCGTTATGAGCATTGAAAACGCCAAATGAAAAGCAGTGTGTAGAGGATTCAGGAAGTGGGGGGGGGGGGGGGTTAGAGAGATAAGGTAGCCTACATGTAATACTTAGCAAGCATTTTCTGACCCAAACTACAGCATATGCCTGGCTTGTTGTAATTTTTATAAGACGCGTGTGTCGACTAAAGGTTCAATTGTCATTGATAAATATAGTGCGGAAATTCGATAAATACGGCAATAACTCGATCGTTTCAAAAAGCAAAAATAATCAAACTTCCAGATACACAATTTTATAATCACAAAATTATATTTCTATATATAGACACTTTGATGATTTTACTGCATAGAACAGAATTATAGAATAGCCTGCTTTTTAATTTGGTTGCTACCACTAAACAGACATGTTCTGATTTTTAGAAATTGTGACCTGAAAAATACAGAATCTGCAAAATTCACGATTTTCCCCTATTGAAAAGATCGAATAATTACCGTATGGAACAGTAATTCGCTCAAAATGACATTCAAATATTTAACGGAAATTGTGGCGCCAGCCAGACTGGGTTGATGATATATAGAAGTCAGACATGTCATCAATCGGCTTTTTACATTTTGTGAGCAAAGCTAGCATTATCTGTGTCTGATCATTCTCCAGAAATCTTTTGTCTCTGTTAAATATTTATGGGTGGTTTGACACTTTGTTTTAAATGTGAGCTAGAAATGATAGAATCTACTATATTATTGTCTTTTTTCATAGTCTATTTTAATCAAGAATTAGATTCAAAGTCAATAATCACTACCATATATAATATTGGAATTGGATTTTTACACTTTTATATTGTATAGTAACTTGTTAACTTATGAAAAAATATTGTTAATATTGTTTAATATTGTTTATAAGAGGCCTTAAATTACAAATAAACTTTTATTGTATTGTATTGTATGTTTTATATTGTATTGCGCACCGTTTCCAATACCGTATTTAGCTTCTAGCAGTATGCCGGGTCATGCCATCTTGTATATCAGAGCCGAGATTACTGGAAAGTCTCCTCGTATTGTAAACTGTTGACGCCCCAGAGGTAAATGTGAGTTTCCAGTGGCCTCTGATGACTGAAAAATATCTGACTGTAAGTCAACTAGAATAAATCGATTCACGTTAGAGATAGAGCTGAGAGGCGTCTCAGCGTCGAATGAATTCAATTGATGGAAGCACGTAATTATGATGACCGCTCGTACGTGTTAAGATACCTTTAGGATCCATGCCTAGATCGTGTTAATAGATTTTCCAAGATAGCATGAAATGAACCTGTCGGAACGGCGTGGCGTCGCACGTGCGAGTCCGCGTGAGGAGGGGGCTTATATTTTTCAGCGGTGGAAGTGTCGCATAGGGATATGTCAATGGCACATCATTCTTGCCAAAGTGTGAAAGTTGGTGGCAGAAGTGACAAGCTTGCGATTCTGACTAAATGAGAGAGGCATGCAATCTGCGGTAGGCCGTATTTACGTAGATAATGATGCATAGATTTTCCTGGAAATCCCGACAATATTTTCTTATACATGTATCACCGAGGCATTCCCTCTCCGAACCTATTGAAAAAAATATTACAGTCTAGAGACCAGTTTTTGGATTCTAAATACGTTTTTTTACCGCCCCGAGTGAATTTCACCCAACCCTAAAATCAACCTCGAGAGCTACTCAAAGATCAGAAAACCAAAACTTAAATGTCTAAAATATTAGTTTTCTTTGTAAAATCTAAAACTTGGCCATTTTTTCTTAATTAGTAAAGGCTGTCGTTCGTTTTTCAAACAGGCGCGTGGTCCCCGGGTTGTAGTAACTTCATTGTCTTGAAAATCAAGGTACTTGATCACTGGATGTTCAATTTCGATCAAAGGCTTTCTATGCTACGTTCTTTTTAAAAACATTAACTACACATATGTGAGATAGTATGACATTTAATAATAATAATAATAATAATAATAATAATAATAATAATAATTTTATTAAGCACAAATGTATTTACATTTAAAGGCTCTTTAAATAACATGTACTATATAATATAGTAATGATTGTTATAAATGAAAAAATCAATATAGTGATATACAATATACATTATAAAGAGATAAAATGGATGAGATCATTTGTGTATTTGATACCAATTATTTGCGTTTTATCAAAACCTTTACTTATAAATTTTGCTATAGCAGTCGCACCCTTCACAGAGGGTGGATAAAGTGCGCAGAGGGAGGATTTAGGATGACGTAAAGCTATTCATGGACAAAATTACGTTATTATTTCCAACAGTTGTCTGACCTTGACCCTTTAACCATGCAAGTTTACCTCTAGTATAGACTCAAACGGTAATTTTCTTTCAACTTCATGATTGCTGCATTCAAGAAAGAAATGAATCTCACCTTCCACCTTGTCACAGTGGGGACATTTTGTCACAGTGGGACATTTTGTCACAGTGGGGGCATTTTCGGTCTCACATTTGTGTCTTGGGGTTCGTGTATCACCCTCTTCCAATCTCTAGGTCGTGACAACTGATTCGCATTCTTGCCAAAAAAAAAAATTTTTTTTTGAGGGGGGGGGGGGGTTAGTGGGATATTCATTTTTAAGTATGGTTAGGGCTCATAATGCTTCTCTATTTTCCTCTCTGTGCACTCCTTCATGGTTTTATTCTGTTGGCCATTTTATTCTTTAGATTTTGGTGATCGTGGGTTTTATTGTCAGGTGTGGTGGAATTTGAATGATTTAGTCCCTGTACATTAAGCCAAATTTGACATTGCCTAAAACCAGTTATTTGCCCTGTCTGTTTATTCTTTGACAATTCTTTGTTCTGGGAGGTTATTCAGCCTTTCGCTGTATCTTGATACTAATTTGACAGTGTCCAAGTAAAATGGGAGACGCCCAGGTTCTGCCCGGCAGGCATTAGTATTGTTTGACCGTTTCTGTTGGTCTATTATTTACAAAAAAAAGTGTGCGGCTCAATTCTGCCAAACTTGCTGAATACTATAATTTTCGATTTATTTTCATTTACTTTTAATTTCCCATTATATACAATATTTTTCAAGTTTGTTTGGAATAGGCTTTTGTCTTTGAGAGCAGGACTGGGCCATCCTCATATGAAATGCCTTTTAACCCTTCAGCTTCCTTGGCACTGTTGTTTGTGTAGAGTTCACTTTTTAGGTCAACTATGAAGATGTTGACAGGCAGGGGCGAAGCTAGGGGAATCCCCACTCCCCCTGTCGAAATTTGACCTCCCCAAACTTAAAAGTAGCTTCCTTCGCAGCTTTTCTCTCTGTATCTTTAGAAAATAAATAAATAAATAAATAAATAAATAATAATAATAATAATAATGATAATAATAATTGGGGTGCATCCAAATTTATAAGCAGAAATCCACCGACCAAGTGCAAATATTTATAAGAGGATTCCGAGAAAGACGGATGTATTCCACGCGGGTACAAATCGGCTTAACAAAATTTAATTGACAACAGCCAGTAGGTAATTTAAAACTTTCTTGGTGGTACAAAGCTCTAAGTAAAAAGGATTTATTCTTATCTCGTTCTAATTAATTAAGTCAGCAGGGCGGGTTTCAATACGATTGCTTTCATAATACTTTAGATATGAGTATAATGATGATGCATATCTATATAGGTAATTCTGTTGCTGTTTATTTGTGTAAAAAATAGAAAATAAACAAATAATGTCTATGAAAACTGCCACTGTGTTATGTACGTGCTCGACTTGTTATTGTTTCACAGTATTTCAAGTATTTTAATAATAATAATTATAATAATAATTTATTGAGCACTGAAATGTTTTTTACATTTAGAGGCTCTCTATCTACTATATATTATACATATGGAAAGATAGTAATGATAGTAAGTAAATGAAAGAGAGAAAAAAATTATACTTGTATAATGTTACACAATATACATTCTCTTAATATACAGGTGAGATGCATGAAATCATTTCTGCACTTCTAGTTAATTACGTTTTTTCATAATTTTACTTACAAAATTCCCTACTGCAATTGCACTCTGTTCAGTGGGTGGGTTTAGAATGATGTCAAGCTGTTTGACCTCGTCTGTTAGACCTTGCAAGTTTACCTCTGGTATGCATTCGAACAGCAATTTCCTTTCAATTTTGTGATGGGTGCATATTTTGGTTAGGTTATGCCCTGTATTTATACTGCGCTCAAACCAATAAAGAACTGAAAAATGCCTAATTAAATTCTGGTAAACCAGGGGAGCACCTGGCATATCCCTTCTTAAAGCTACATCCCCTCGTCTTGTTGACCCTAGCACAAAGTTAAGCTCTGATCACAAGGCCACATACACACTCTGTTTAGCGAAAAACAAAACAATTGACTGTGGATTTGTAATATCACAAAAGATTAATTTGGTATTTTTGTGTGTCTTTTTCGCTTCGGCTGATATAAGAACTCTTGGTGAACCTTGCATGTAGCCTTGCACGCAACATTTTGTGTGGAAACTAAAAATCCAAACACAGATCTGCTTGATAACCTGGGCCATTTTCATTGTTTGCTGAATTTCATGATCAGTTAGGTGTGCTTAAACTCTGAACAAAAATTATCCGAATGTCCGATGGTCAACCAGTGATGACGTCTTAATGTAAATGCTTATCGAGCAAAACAGCAAAGAAAATATTTGCTATTCCTTATCTTATACCAGAATATTTCGCAACAGATTTTTATTGGGTGAGGCCGTGTACGACCCCGTGGCGATATTAATGAAATACCGTCATTTGGTTAAGAAATAAGCTTAACAATACACAATACATTGGTAAGGAGCTTCAATGGTAGTCGGGTATTTTCACAGCACTGATTAAACCTTTAGGAAATATATTGTTTTTTCATAAAAAATGTTTTAAAATGCTTATTTAAAACCATGATCCGTGCAATTCTGAAGATATATCTGAGCAGTTATATCTTGAACAATTCTCGTATTTCTCCATTGCAGAGAAAAGGTTGCGTATCTTTGGTTTTTTTCCCCGAGTCGCTTTATTGCGTATCTCTTGTCAAGTTGACGTCTGTCATCTCTAGATTTATCAATCGATCAACGTGACAGCCACGCGCGTCAGCCGTTACATTGTCAAAGGCATGATGGCAATATTAGAGGCTAGTTAATTCCAATAAAAACTGGAACTCAGGATGGAAAATCATTTTTATTACTGCTTTTTTATTTCTATTACTGAATTTTTATTACCAAAGCAAACATACCCACCACAAAGAGAAAACGCATATGTGAGAGAGTGACATATAACGTTAGATAGGGACAGTTCTACTTTGCAGGGGCGGATCCAGAGATGTTTTCTGACAATCTTCCAAATGAACTTTGTTGATTCATCCTCCATTTTTGACCGTCTTCCGACAAAAAAATTAGATACCCGTCAATGTAAACTTGAAAATCTGACCGTCTTCCGGAAGACCCAAAAGACGACCTGAATCCGCCCCTGCTTTGCATATTATGTTGCATATTATGTTGCATATTATGTAACATGTTTTGTACATTTTACTGTACCCACTGTGCAAGGTAATAAAATGTAGGCAGCAATGCAGGGATTTAATAAAAATTCATGACAATAAGATCACAAAACCCGCTTATTTCCACTGATAGAAGTTGGAGGTCCGCCGTCTTTGATGTCTAATCGTGGTAAAGCAAAGAACACATGTTGAGTGTTGCGCCGCCAGTTTCAAAAACAATGCTTACGGTTTTAGGCTTGGCTTGATGACTCAAGTCAGATAGCTGACTATAGGATGTCGACTTTGTTACATTGGTCAATGTGCTAAAATGCTGTAAAAACTAATGGTATAAAAGCACTCAGAGAGCCTATTAAAATGGATCATTCAAACAACGAATAACCCTTATAATATATAAGTTTAATGTGAACCTCAACCCCTCCCGTTTAAAACGGCTAAATTCCTTTCCCAACCAGAAACTCACAATTGAACTTATTGATAACAGACGATCCCCCACGGTAAAGATGCGATATGCAGAACATATCGAGTAACTTTTTATTATAACATCTTACTGCAAATAAGTAACAAATTTTCGAATCGGCGCCAAGTAAATACAATATATATATATATATATATATATATATATATATATATATATATATATATATATATATATATATATATATTTTTTTTTTTTTTTTTCTTTTTTAAAGTAAACTACGTGTTCACATAAGTTTTACTTTTTTTCATAAACCAACTAGCTGATGACGAATGTCTTTTATTTGCAAAGCAACGATGCAGCAATTTATTTCCTCTCAGTGATTTCAGATCTTTTGGTCGCTAATCAGATAAACAAATGTCTGCTGCTTTCGACTGCCATTATGTTACATTTCTAAGATTAATCAATAAGCTGTTGACAAATGTGGTTCATATCGAAAACAGCGTTTTATTTACTCTAGGTCAATATCTTTTAGTGGCTTTTAAAGTCATACAGTGCACTGTTTGTAATATAGCATAAAACTAAAAAAAAAAGAAATTTCCATAATTTACTCTTAAACACCGAAAGCTTTGAGATGGCAAATATCTTAAGCGTCACTTCGGAGTCCTGTGTTTTCTCTTAAAAGTCACGCCGCTTTCCATCTCCTTCAAATTAAGAACAGTTAAGTTTTCATGTCGGCCGTGTTGTGCCAACCCTGGATCCGTTATATTTTTCTTCCTGTCATTGTGGGGTCTTTTCACTCCTTTTTCTACATCCAGGAAATGATCCGAGGGGGGGGGTGGGGGGGGGGGGGGCACGCGTGCCTGACTGCTATGCGACTCACGTCACCCGGGTTTCGGTATCCTCTTCACTGTGTGTCTTTGTTGGCGATGGGTTTATTTTCCGTCAGTTTTCGCTCAGATTTCCATGCCAGATATGTGTTCCAGAATAAAGCCACTACATTGACAACTAATATCCTACAAAACACCAAAAATACAGAACGATACTGACGTGGTATCAGAAAGCCAATTGAAGGCCGCACGAATGGCGTGTTCTACAGCTAAAAATTCCTGTCAATTTCAACATTTCCTTAGTTCACTTCTTGTTACAAGGAAAATTTTTGTGGGTGTCTGAAAATGATAAATCTTAACGAAGTGATATTTTACTAGAAGCGAGGTGTGTGGAAATTTTAAGCAATCACCAACTTACCTGTGATGAAATGGAACAAAATAAAAATTGCTTATTTGCACTGGTATCCACAACTGAAAAACACAATAAAATCACAAAAGTCAAGATAAAAAAAAATGATACAAACAGATTAATATAAGACTTTTACATTTACATTTTTCAGAATACTTACAAAAAGAAAAAGAAAAAAAACTGCACTGTCACTCTGTCATAGATTGTTACTGACCTGATAATTTGCCATGAGTATTGGTAAGAAGTCCTGAAATATGAAAAATATTCACAAAGATGATATCAATCACAATTTTGCATCAAAATCACCTTAAGACTCACATAAAAAAAAAAAATACAGAAATATATATCAAATAGAACTTCCACTCCTCCCTCCTACACATTATAGTACAAAATGTTCAAAATCCTTTTATCTTGTCATTTCTTCCCTCCCTCCCTCTAGCAAAAATTTGGTATCACCAGTCTTAATCTCATAAAACCTGGGAAAGTTAATTCTCCTCAGAGCACAACCAGTGCCCAAGAAACATATCACATTGTCACTCAGTTATATGGAACACCTGACACATTCAAAAAAATGTTATTGGTATATTGCATTTGTGGTGCTTTTACTGCAGAGTATAGAACTATATAGCAGCCTGCTTTTGTATTTTGTTGCTACCACTCAATAGGAATGTTCTAATTTCAAGAAATTATGACCAAAAAAAAAACAGTATCTGTAAAATTCACAATTTTCCCAAATTGAAAAGATAAGTAATTGCTGTAAGTGCTTTGACTGCAAGGTTGTGATATGCAATACCTACTCTCTTGACCTTTTCCTGAATCTCTGACCAGGGGTCTCCACGCAGCCAACCCATTGTTGTGATAAAAACAGTCAGAAAAGAAGGAGCAAAGAATGCCTGATCACAAAACACTTTTTTTAGTGCCACAGTCTTGGTAGTCCCTTTGAAGAGAAAATCTAGTGTCATATACCACGTCCTCAACACTGGACCCTGAAATTAAGAGACCATAAGCAATAAGCATTTATTTATTACTTATTTATTAAGAGATAATAAGTAGTTAATTTATTATTTTAAAAGAAAGCTTACTTGTTATGTGTCTCTTTTTGCAAAAGTTAGGCCCTGTTTTGCAATAAGTATCTTAATGTAAAAGAAAAAGAATGAATTGGGGGGAGGGGGGGACAATTGGTAATATCATGTTGAGACAATTATCTCACTGTGTTGTGCGTATTTCTCATAAAACTATTTTTCTATGTAGTTCAATCCATCTCTGCTGGGACTCTCGCTGAATGCAATCAGATTAACTCAATGATAAGCCTCCTCAAGCAGCTACTAGTAGGGGGTGTGTACTCCCAGCTACTGGAAGCTTTTTTGCTTCCTTTTGAGTGCAACAGAGAGCACACAAAAAACTTTTCACTCTTTACCGACATTATGTAGATCAATTATCCACATTACATGAAATAGAAAAGCTTAACATGACTTGCGAAAGGTGTATACCCCCCTCCCACAGTGTAAGAATTTAAGTCAAATTGGTGCAAAACAGGAAAATCCAGTGCACTGACATCTTATACAATAAGGAGAGTAGCAATTAGGCCTAATAAAATGTTCCTGCTGTAATAAATTAATTAAAATACTAAAATATCAATCTGACTGAAGAGTTCAGAATTTGTCTCCTTTAAATCATCAGAATGATTGACAAAGTTTTAACACTGAACAAAATTGCCTTCAGCATGTGATGTGCACTGTCTTCTGAGCTTAATGTTAGACCAAAGCTTTTCTTTCTACTTATTAGAATTTTTATCCACAAATTGTTTGTTGTACAGTAGTTGAGACATTAACCTCCTTGAAGGAGACTTACAACAGTTTCAGTTAATTTTGTTGTTTAACACCCCATACAAACACCAGATATACATCACTTCAAAGATAAATAAATAATGAAAGTAAGAAACAATTTGACATGAATAAAAATCTATAAAAAATCTTTAAATATTCCCAGTGGTTTAAAAAACCTAAACTATTGTACTCACTGCAAGTAGAGTACCAAAACCAAGGAAGCGTAGTGTCCTAACTGTGTCATAATTTGCTGTGTTCTTCTTTTCTATGAATATTTGTGCAATGACATCTCCTGCTGCCATGAGTGTACCTGAAAAAATAACGCTAATAATAATAAATTAAATATTTTTTTTTCAAATGTCTCAATACAAATTAAATGCATTACAGTACCTTTAATAAATAATAAAAACTGAATTTTGTAAAGACACATTCAGTTGCCACCTTGATTGGCTACTAAAGAAATTATTACTGAACTATAGAAAATGACTGTAGAATGCCTTAACTTTTAGTCTACCATATTAATAAAAAAAAAAAAAAAAAACAGGATAAAGAAATCTGTGTAAGATTTTGAAATGCATCTATTAAAAATAACCAGATGTATAGTGTACGTTATATATAAAGTGAACAATATTCAATAAACTGATCATCAACCAAGATGACAACAGGGTGTGAAAGGAAAAATGGACATGTCTTGATTTTCCTCTCCCCTCTGAGAAAAATAAAACTTCTCCCAAGTTTAAATGGAGTATCATTATTAATTACCTCCCAAACAGGTGGTACTTTTGCAGTATATTCCGCCCCACCTGATAACTCTTTAATCTTAAATGTTCATCAAAATTAAGTTGTTGTGACTTTGATCAATTCAATGTCTCAATCTTCTATTCAAATAAATTTACTATTTTTTTGTTTGTTTATTTTTTATTTTATTTATTTTTTGTGGCATAAAGTTAGATGTACTGAGTAAAAACATCCATTTGTAAGTGAATTGCAGAACTAATTTTTCTGAGTGGCTGAGGCACTACTCAAAATTAATACACAACTTTATTTAGAAAAAGATATTGAAGGTCATAGCGATATAAGGCGGTGGTTGTGTGTGTGTGTCACACTGTGTGTGTGTGTGGGGGGGGGGGGGGACACTATATGTGCCCAAATGACAACGCATCTTTTTAATTAGATTATTTTACTCCCCTCAAAGCAGTATTTATTCTAGACATAGGCAACAAAGAACATTTAGTCTACGAAGAGCAAAGGATTGTCTGAGTTCGACGTGCTGATCACAGAAAGTTCGAGCTACGCCACGTGCACAACATTCTGCACCGACCGCCTGGTAGCTAGCCTTCATCAACACCTCATTATACAATTATAGTGGCCATGCAGCCTCAGCTGACGCTCGCAGGTACCTGTAGTTGTCGCCTGAGTTTTCCAAGGATGTCTCTGTAACACACCAAGGTATGCCTGCCATAGTTTTGACATTATAAGAGAGTACAGTAGCCTTTCAAGGTCATCTACTTCAGCCGGCGGTCACATTGCGTGGTTACGTATTTAATCCAGCCTAGATAAAGTTCGACGCATACGAAGCTATCTATTGTCATTACTTAAGTTTTGAAATAAGAAAATAACTTTTTGGATTAATGCTACAGAATGCAGGACAATTTATATAAATATTGAACTAATAAATTAAATATGATAAAAATACTTAGAAAAAATGCATCATATTGTGAGGTGGATATTTCTGATGTCGTCGATATAGTATCGAGACAAAATTACAAACCTGCAAGGCAGCTTTGAGTCGTGTATGAGGTCGACGTGCCGATCACGTAATGAGGTCAAAGAGGTTGTCAGAAGAAAGATATTACGCCCCGTCATGGATCAGCGGAGAAAAATGAAGAAGGTTTGTGACATTGTTTGATTAAAGTTATTTGTAGATAAAAATGTGATAATACAAATTTAAAAGCTGGGTGTCGTTCTAACATTTCGCATTCAGAGAGAAATTGAGACCGTGGCGGTAGATTTGACTTTTGATTGAACACTTTCAGTGGGCCTGTCTTTCCTGAAAAGTACAGGACGAGGAGCCACGGCCCCAAATGGTCACGTAAACAAAGGAATGATTGTTATTTTGACTGACAATTTGTTATAGATATCTGATTTAAATTGAAAAGAAAAGACACCTTTTGATTAGAAACAGAAGACGGCAGTTGTTTATTTGAGTCCGACATCGCGCGCTGATACAGCTACTGAGTATATTTTGGTATCATAAATACGTTTTTTGCTTTAAAAAAAAAATATCAGGTTTCTTGTTTGATTAATTTTTTGTAACACACCTGAACCAAAAAAAGGCATTGAATTTTTATTTTGGACATTTTCTGTGCTTTTTTAAAATTATCAGGTTTCTTTAATGATTAATTTTTTGTAACACACCTGAAATAAAAGAAGGCATAATTAAGTTTTAATATTTTGTTAAAAACTTCTTATAATTTTACTGAATGGTTGTTTATTTTCCCAGTGAAGTGCTAAGTGTACATTATACATAGCTGCTCTGAATTAAGCCACAAATTAATTCAATATATGAGAATATTAAATGAAAAAAAAAAACCCTTTAGAATAAGCACTCAAATTACTAGTAATTATGTGCTGTACACTACATTTTACAGGTTGATCTCCATGTTCACCTAGATGGAGCTGTTCGTGCCTCAACAATATGGGATGTGGGAAAGTAATTTTTTCCATATATTTATCTGCCTGTCTGTCAGTCTATACAGTCTATCTTTTAATCTACAGTATCTATCCATCCATCTATTCATCAAGAAGTCTGTAGTTTTGGTCAGTTTGACTTGAAATTATGACCTAAATTGAAATACGTTTTCAGTCTGTTTCATTTTGGATCACATTGCCAAGATCCTCTTAATAGTATTTTTTTTTATCTTTTTTTATTTTTAGGAGAAGAAACATGAGTCTTCCCGGGAGCAGTGTTGAGGAGCTACAAGAACACCTGACTATTACTGATAGGGGTTCTCTGACAGAGTTCCTGGCAGTTTTTGCAATACACATGCCTGTGATATGGTAAGGTGTAAATCAATAGGTAAAAAATAGATTATTACTAGTCGGTAGGGGAAAATGCATGTGTGTCCTCCTTCTTTCTGTCTCTCTCTCTCTCTCTCTCTCTCACACACACACACACACAAACCAGGGACTTCTACCTTTTATCACATATATGATTTCAAACTTCATAACCACCAGCCCTTTCATAAGACACAGTAATTACCCTGTAGTAATAGAAACATCTATCTATTGAGTTCTTGTGTATCTGTAATCCATACATCAGCACGTACCCATCATGGGTCAGCCAGTAGAAATCTGAGGTTGTCTGCATGCATAATTTGAATGACCCCCAGATATTTGTAACATGGACCGATAATCATGGGAACTTTCCACTTGGCGCATATATTCAGAACAGCAGACTAACACCCCATTTCCATAGATTTTTAGATCGATCTATCCCCGCGGGGAGTCTCACTAGATTACTGTCAGATAATCCGGCTTAAATGTCCCTCCCGCCTACTAAAAGCTAACTATGGTGCCCGCTCGGATGACTGCAATTTAGCGTGAACCCCCAGGGAGTTAGGTCGATCTAAAACTTAATCTTTAGATCGATCTAAATCTCTGGGAAAGCACCCTAACAAAGCCACAGGTCAAATATGGTCGGCCCACTTGAATGCTTGTTGCATAATTTCTGCTGGGAATCTTTATAGTGTCCAATTGGGTATTAAGCAACAGGCTTTTTAGTGGGTCGCCATATTTGATCCGCAGATCTGTCAGTCCACTTCATTTTCAGTGGGGATCTAGAGGCCATAGAACGAGTAGCCTACGAGTTTTGCGAGGACTGCTCCAACGATAACATCATTTACTGCGAAGCCCGTTACTGTCCTCATCTACTGGCCAACGACATGGAGAACCCGTTCTACGCTGACACGAAGGGAAATGTGTCACCTCTGGAGGTTGTTAAGGCTGTTAACAGAGGTGTATGAATATAACAGTCATCAAATCTGTGGAGGGCATTAACATTGTTAATGACTGGTCATGACGCTATAATGCCTGAGCTTGTGATGATGATAGGATTTAATATACTACTTAGTATATTATCTGTTCAACAGTGAAACATTCTTTTTGAAGGAAAAAATGTTATCAAAGCCATAAGTGGCATCTAGTAAATGATACTTTTCAAACATGTAAATGAATTTGAATGTGAATTATATTGGAAGGGGGAGGTCCATCATTTGAAGGAGGAAATTATTTGGTGTTTTTTTTTTTTTTACAAAATAATCATTTTTATCATTTTTAAGGTCTTAAAGGAGAGAGAAGTAGCTTTGCAGGATAATTGTGTAGACATGGCAAATGTGGCTTATGGACATATATATATATATATATATATGTTTTCCAAGGTTTGAAGAAGGGGTGTGTAGACTTTAACATCAAGGTGAAGACCATCCTCTGCTGTATGAGAGAAAGACCAGGTGAGTTGATCTTGCTTGATCTGATCTTGTTTGTAAAGTTACACAGTAAATGGGAGGCTTTTTTTTCCTGATAACAGCATAGACATAAAAGTGTCATTCTTTATAAGACTTATGAGGGACAATACTAGTAGCATATTGTTAAGGCCTTTTTTTACACCAGGCGTATTTTTATGATACAATAAGACGATTCCATAAATGGAACCCAATCAATACATGCAGTCTTAAATGTCTATCTAAACAGCACAAACAAAACTTGTGGAGAACTTGGGCATAAAGTCTCCTGCAACATATATTAATACTATGTCAAAACACAGATACAATTGTATAAGACAGTAATAGATATATTGCTGGACTTTAGAAAGCCTTTAACAGCTGTATTTGTAAACAATCCAGAGAAGGTGACTTCAGCTTGTTAGTAAAGTCCAGGATCTTGTGTTGTCTTGTAGAGTGGGCCCAGGAAATTTTGGACTTGTGCTTAAAGTTCAAGGACCAGGGTGTTGTGGCCATAGATTTAGCTGGAGATGAGAATTTAGACTTGAAAGATATCAAAAGTCACGACGAACATTTAAGAGTATTCCAGGTACAGAAAATTTTGGATGATTTAACTCAAGGTTCTACATTGTAACTGTTTCTTTCAGTAGTTTGAAACCAAATTGTTACCCCTCTTCCATAATGGACACTGTGCCTGTGGTGGAAAACTCCAGAAGAATTGAATTTTTGTCACATAAAAGTCTAATACTCCCCGTACGTGTGATTTGGAAGATGAAAGTTGCCTTCTCATGCACCATAAGGTATTTAAATAGGTGGATATATTGTGGAATTATGCTCCTCATCAAATTGTTATTTTGATAATTTAATATGAGACTAGTGATTTTTTAATGTTGTAGGAGGCAGAGTGGCTAGGGTTAAGTCGTACTGTCCATGCTGGGGAAAATGGACCAGCCGAGATTGTGAGAGAGGTATGTTTCTCTTGTTTTAAAAACTTTACTTATTTTACTCTGATGTTTCTCTTGTAATTCATTTTGCTCAGCTTGTGTTTTTGTTTTTTTTTCATAACTAAAAGTGCACACCATCTACAATTGCCCATAAATTGCCCATGTTAGTAACAATTTTGACTTTTTTTCATAATTTTCAGGCAGTTTATGACATGCATGCGCAGCGTTTAGGACATGGTTATCACGTGCTTGACGACGAAACTCTGTATAAAGCTGTGCGAGAGAAAGGTGTCCATTTTGAAGCTTGTCCTGTGTCAAGTCACATGACTGGATCTGTAAGCACTGATTGGACAAAGCACCCCATCTTAAGGTAATAAGCCAAGTAATGTGAATGTCAAAAGATACCACAGGTTTGCTTCATAAAAGAGCTATATCCCAGAAATGGGTCAAATTTTTTAGACCAGTAATTTTCTTCATCCTCTTTGACACAAAAAAGAATTGATCAGTCCCACAAAGTCATACATGTTTAATGAACATATTTTATGACTGGCAAGATATGGCTTACGTATGTGTCAAAGATTAAGTGAAGTACTACAATACCTATGATTTATCATTATTCAAACAGACCTGATTTTAGGTTTAAAATGGAGAACATAACAAGGCCAGTAATTTTTTTATGAAAATATTAAACACAGATAAATAACTTTTTAAGGTAACTGAAAAAAAAATTAATTCTAATTTTGGAAAAGTAAAAATGTGCATTTGAGAATGTCACAACTTTGCCTTATTTGATCAGATTTGCTCGAGACGGCGTGAACTTCTCAGTTAATACCGATGACCCACTACTGATTGGAGGATTCCTTTCATCAGAGTACGAGACATGCACGGAGAAGATTGGACTGAGTCTAGAACAGATCAGAAATGCAGTAAGTCTTCATAAATAATAAATTACACTTTTCAGCTTGGAGCCATTTTCAGAGATTGATACCCCCTCTCCAGGAACACACATATATATATATATATATATATATATATATATATATATATATATATATATATATATAATACCTGCACCATTTTGAGAGATTGTAAACTTAAAACCCTGGCTATTACGTAAGATAATCTCCTGAACAGTCCCCCACTATTGACACAGCCAGTAAATTCTGATTAATACAGTGATTGGTGCACAGGGACTTGTTGAAACTGTCACATATTAAAACAGTGATTGAAGCTGTTGACTTTTAAGACTTATTGGTGCTTCTTTCAGTACTTAAATATCTTATTTGATGTTTGTTTTCTATTTAAGAACCTGAATGCAGCTAGAGCCACCTTCTTACCAGAAGATGAGAAGCAGTCATTGCTTAAACAACTGCAGGAGGACTACGAAAAATCTGACTCCAGCCAAGGAGATTGAAATTCTGAAAATGCTAATTTTAATGAACTATAGAACACAAATTGAATGCCAGCTAATTTCCAGTATTTCAGAAAAATATGTACGTAAGAATCTGACATTGTTTATGTATATTAATCAGGGATAGCTCAGGTATTTTAATATACTCTATAAAGGTTATATACTGTGATTCAGTATTATCAACCCCCCCCCCCCAAAAAAAAAAAAAAAAAAAAATTAAAATGGACTAATTTATGCCCAGTTAAGGTTTTAGAGAAAGAAGTTTTTGAATAACTTTACCATATGATTAGTACATGTTAGGGTTAGCTGGGGATTACTGGGGTTAATATATGGGACCAATGTCACATGGACATAGTAATGGGGAACTGACAACGTTTCCTAGCGGACTACCATTCCTGTTACACCGCATAGCCTAGTGGTTAATGTCTGACTTCGAATCCCGTCTGTGGATCCGTCAAGTCCGTAGAGAATTATTTCTCTCCTGATCCTCGATTTATATTGACCGCTTAGGAGGTCAATACGATGTAGTATTGATAGAACGCGACTTTCGACCAACATCAGTTCTCACGTAACAAAACGATTTATATTTTATTCTTTTAAGTCAATATGCAGTTTTGTAGACCTCAGCGAGGAAATGACAACTTTTGCTGTGCCCAGGTTTAAACGAATAAACAAATAGATATGATAAATCTTATATGTGCTTTTATTTTTTTCCCCATCAACGCAGGAGGCTGTTCTTTCGTTAGTGTCGGTTTGCTTGTGTACAAGGTGTCTAAAATAAACAGATTCTGATGGGATTTTGAGGATAAACATTTATGCAAGAGAGCAAACATTGATCGCATTCACAACGAGTTGAGCCAGGCTTTACAAATCCTGGGGACTAAATATGGCGGTCGTACATGAAAGAAAAACCGCCTAATCTTTTAATAGTCTCTCCGCCTCTCACACGCCTCCCCATGTGTCGTCCCAATGGAGCCGAGATTTAATGACTGTTCCCCCGCAGGGACGACGTGTGGGGAGGCGTGTGAGAGGCGGAGAGACTATTAAAAGATTAGGCGGTTTTTCTTTCATGTACGACCGCCATATTTAGTCCCCAGGATTTGTAAAGCCTGGCTCAACTCGTTGTGAATGCTATCATTGAGTGCGATGTCAACTAAATCGAGATCCCCTAGCTCCTGAAGTTAATACTTTGCATCTCCATGGCTTGTTATTGGATTTGCAGAGCTGTTAATGTACCCGAAGGTAAGATGAGGCACTGCTTTATACCTCGCCTTCAGAGTTGTTTCGAGAAGATTTTCTTCTATGTCCACTGCGTCTTGAATAAGTTTAGACAAATGCGAAGGCGGTTGGTATCTACTCTTTCGATGAAACTTCCCTTCGGAATGTTTTCTGATGCACTCCAATCGATTCTTGCTCACGGGCAACTGTAAAAATGCCATAGTGGCCCCCAAAGCTTCAGTTAAGTTCTTTTTCAGCGCTTCGTACCTAAAAATTAACAACAGAAACCAATCATCCTATATATAACTTAAACTGCATGTGATTTGATAGTTCTAAAAAGAAGAGTCCAAAAACGTTTTATGGAATGTTTGAAGTAAGTGCAAAATTTTAGTTTATGAAAACAGTAATTCTTAAGTCCAATATGATCATATAATGATTCATAATACCTTCAAGTGGTTTTTTTAAATGCATTAGCACCTTTAAGATATTTTTAGTATTAATCATAAGTAATACATCAGTTAACTATGAGTCACAAATTCACCTACGAAATGAAAAACTCCAATGAGGCAGCGATAAAGAATTTGGCCAACTACCTCAGCCAAACTTTATTTTGAGAAAAAATTGTGCTGCATCTTTCACCCAAGAGCGTTTACAAGCATAAATGATACTCCCACTACTAAGGTTCAGCGCGCTAGAAAGTTGAATACGATTGTAGATTTGTGTAACATTGTTACTCTGTTCTATTTATCTCTGTACATTTTACATGTGCATACGTGTGAATAAGATACATTTAAAGGTCTGTGCTTGAAAATCCCCCCAAAGTCATATTTTGCGTGCCTGCGTATCCGGTAAATCTACTAATATTTCCCACTTCAGACCTAAAAAACCCTTTATCCCCGCAAATAAAAGCACCAAACGTCAATAGTTCCTTCTAAAAAATACAAGAAGACTTGACGTTCTAAATGACTGGCCTCATTTAAGGGACAATAACTTTTCGTATACGATCTATATTTCACAATAAAAACATTGTGAACAACTCATAGAAATATAATATATTCTGTTTTGCCACAAAAACAGCGGTTATAGCTATTATTCTGATATCTGAGCATGTCTTTAGACCACGTGATCTCCATTGATGGCTATACTCTGCAATAATTTCTTAAGAGATTATAACAAAAAAAAAAAACCTTTTAGAAAAAAAACCAGGGACTAACTTAGAATGTAGAAATGGATTCATTAACCATAGGTAAGTACGGAAAAATTGCTGTTCACTCCAGGAAAATTCATTTTTTGGCCCAAACGAACAGTTATTATCCCTTTAATTATACAACTGAATACAACGTCAAATCTAAGGGCAGGGAAGGGCCGAGTGACGAATCGTGAGAAGGAAAAATACTTTTTTTTGTAGAGAATCTACTTCCGTTGCACCGTGGAATACCTACCGTAGAATGAATATGGGCATTTTCCGCTGCGAAATCCATTCCAGTGTTCTTCTGTTGGCCCAGCTGTGCAAATTGTGGACATAGCTTTGAATAGCTGCAATAAAATACAAATTATATGATTACTAATTAAGTCAAGGGTTCTTTTAGATTGCTTTCTTTTTTCAGACTTCATAAGGCTTACAAGGTATTGAAACGAAAAGGTTCTTTCAGATTGCTTTCTTTTTCAGATTTATAAGACTTACAAGATATTGAAATAAAAATATTACTGATTTTTAGAAAGAGAGCTGGCTATATTAAGTAAAACAACACGGCAATAGAAGATAATTTGGGTCCTATACTTTGGGTCCCAGGGTAAACGCTAAACACTCAAAGACACCATACATGTTTGCATTCCATAGCAAAGTAACGCATGCGCAGATCATTCCTAACTTGCCTTTCGTATTGAAATCCGCCGTGGCAGTGTGAGACCCGCTCGTGAGGCGTCTCTGTATGTCACTGATAGCAGCCTGGTACATGTCGCGTAGAAGGATAACGACTTTTTCAATAGGTCGATCACTAGCTGCAGTACGCATCTTCAGCGATTTTGCGAGAAGCCTGTGAGATTTAATGGCAAAGACCCTGTTGTCCGCCCTAGATTCGCCTAAAAAGCCACCGTTTTTAAGCTCTTCATCATTGTAGAAGCTTCCAGTGAAGTAACCTGTTCCATACATTAAAAAAAGGGATGAATCAAAGGTTTAAAAAAAAAAGATTGATAATGTTGATATAGTTATTTGTAAAAAGTGTGTAGTTACGCACACGGTTACGCATACTGTAAGGGACCATGGCTTATTGTGTTTAAATGATGAAATAATAATAATTATTGTATGAAGGAAAAAACATGATTAAGTTGCTTGCTCTTAAGCCTAGTTTGTACCTCCTTTGTCCTACACTCCCACCCCCTTTCCGATCAAAATATATTTGTATATCATTAACATTTTATAAAATCCAATGGAACAGAACAGAATAAGATTTTTAAATGAAATGAAATAGACAACAGGGGCGGATCCATGATTATTTGAAGAGGGTGTCAGCGGATGCAAAGCCCACCCTCCCCCCACCCCCACCCCCCTTGGCATTGGGTTCGGGCCCCGAAAATTTTTGGTATTTTAGAGGGCGAACGGCGCCATTTGGTATGGTTTAGAACTATATGATCAGCTATAGTCAAAATTCTAATTTCAAGACGGCACCATAAGTGTGATTTTTTTTTCAGAAATCGAAGGGGGGGGGGGGGGGGGAAGGTGTCAGGACCCCCCTAAAAAAAGAATTTGCTACTTGACAAAAAAGGCACTTTTCAGGCTCAAATTCTCATTGGATTCTCATTGCATTCTCCAGCATTATGTGCAAAGGCCAACCGATTACGTGTCTCCTCATTAAACATGTCTCCTTGTTAAACGGTTCTAAACAATTCCACTTCCAATTATTGTGCAGGTAAAGTTTTTCTGAGTCTTTCATTTTACCAGCTAAATCCACATTGAAAAACACCCTTTGAAGAAAACTAATCAAAAAAGGATAAAGAAAACATACCGGATGCCTGCTCCAACAAAAATCGTGTCCACGTGTTTCCAGACCCCGGCAAACTGTACAGCACTGAGCCAGGTAAGTCGTAATCGGGAAACCTGACACATGCACAGGGCCCTTTAAATGCGTCTTTCCCAGTGCATGGTTCACCATAACCCTGCGAAGTGTTTGCTGGAGATCTTGAAGAATCGGTACTTTTTGTACTATCAGCCGTCTTCGTGTTATTATAGTTTACATGTTGGCTGCCAACTTGAACATATCCAGGGCCCTTATAAGGAATAGTCTTCGTTTGGGTACCAGCTGCTGTGTTGTCATAAGACGACTTGCGGACGTTGGAGATGTCCGATGTGCTTGTTAATGTCCGTATTTCAGCCGGTTTTATAATTGGATACTTTTGATGGCCTTGTTTTATAGCAGTGGACGTTGTGTTTGGGGACCTTACCCATGGTACACGTATCGGTCGGTATACAATTTGTCTGTAACAAAATGTATTGTCAGTTGCTGCTGAAAATTAAGTCCTCTTATGGGTCCTTCATGTATAGTAAGAAGGCGTTTAAAAATAAATGTCCGAAAAAAGAGAAAAACTTGGCTATTTGGGACCAGTATCAAGGTTACCAAAACATTTTTGTTGTGGTGCGGTACAGTAGATTTATGTGAAAAGAGTCATGTTGTAAAATGACTGCTTTATTTTGTTGAGTCTGAAAGGACCGGTTGATGTAGGCTATGAACTAACCTTTTGATCACTGATGTTACCAGTCACACTGTAGGTCAAACAGTGACTGTTAGACATTTATATGCCAAAAATCATTTAAATGTAAGGCCATTTTTTCTCATCTGCTGATTTGGTATATATTTTGATCCATATAAGGCAATAAAATAGAGCTACATGTATAACTACTACTATCTCTACAACGTTCATGTTCCACTTCTATTACTACATAATAGAGAGCTTTCGCACCTGCACGTTTAGGTGACCGACTACATTTAGCTATCCGTAACCGTAAAATGATCAACGTTTATTTTTTCGTGATTTCGCAGAAAGACCCGGCTAGCCTTTACGGATAGTCGAATTGTACAGTGGGCTGATGCATGTTTCACATGCTGTAAAGCCTCGGTCACAGCCGGACGCACGAATTACAGGATCGTACGTCCCCTGCGATTTTTGGGTGTTGCGGAGGCCGTGGAGGTCGTAGAGGTAGAGAAAAGTCTGCCTTGCGAGTCGCAAGGGCCACATGAGATGTGCTTTCAGGCAGGGACGCTAATTGCAAGGAGCGATGGTCGTACTCATTTTTTTAGTTTGTCTTGCTTCCTGTGTACGTGGCACACACTCACCACTTACGAAGGGAATGCAACGCGCGGCGAAAGTAGTGCCCTTTTGCGTCAGTTTTGCTTCACACTTGCCTCACACGTATGTGGTGACGTACTGACGGCGTACGTCAGTTTTGCTTCCTGT